CTCCGAGTCTCTGGCACGGCACCCAGCGCTTTGCAGCCTCTGAAAGAGCTGCCCTAGGTCTATTCCCCAAGGCCACGCACTCGCCCGTCACAGTAGACCCATTCCAAGGCAAGCAGTGGGTCAGACTGGACAGCGACTCAGACAGGACAAAATTCGTCCCAGGAGTGCGCCTGCAGGACGCCTCCTTTCCCAAAGGTTCAACCACTGTCACGGTTGTTGTGGAGCATGGGACTTGGTGGGCCCTTGTGGGACAGCCAGTGCCACCAGAAGATTTCCTCAAGGCTGCGGCGGCAAGCCAGCACCCATCGTGTGCTTTGCCGCCATTGCCCGAGGCACTTGATAGAACAGTGGAAAGCCTCAGCAGTCGCAAGCTCTCAGACATTCATAGGCTGCGGTGTGAAAGGCTGCGTTCCTTGTGTGACATGGCACGTGAGCTCCAAGCGCAGGAGGATGCAGACCACAGACAGCTGCAGCCCCACCTTAGGGACATCCTCAAAGGAAAGCGCCTAAGGTTTTTTGATACTATCCTCCAAGGCATCGCTTTCCCAGACAGGCAGCTAGTGTCAGACATGCGTGCAGGTTTTCGCATCACAGGGTGGTTGCCAGACACGGAAACTAGGCCGTCCAAAGTTGTACCGCCAGTCATGCACAGAGATGAGGTCTGGGAAAGCAGACTGCGTCACAACAAGCAAGTTTGGAGCCAATGCAGACCGAGTACTGATCCAAACCTTGACAGGGAGCTGTGGCATCAGAGTATCAAGGAGTGCTCCCAAGGCTGGGCCACCCTGGAAACCGGACACACCAAGGCTCCGGAGAACTGCGTCTTAGGCCGCAGATTCCCAGTTGTTCAAGGCGATAAAACTAGGCCGATAGATGACCTTTCAGTCAGCTCAGTCAATTCCAGCCTCGGTGCAGATGAAAAGATAGTCGTACAGCCGAGCTCCAGCACCATTGCTCTGGCGCTGCACATACAATGTCGCTGCCTTTCCAAGCACAGGACAGCGGCGCAGCCCGCAGGCATGAAGGGCAGGACATTCGACTTGAAAACTGCTTTCAAGCAACTCGGCATAGCCACCGAGGACCTGCCTTTCGCAAAAGTCGCAGTATGGAACCCAGACGCCGCAGCTCCAGCCGTGCTAGCCCTCAAAGCCCTGCCCTTTGGGGCCACCGGCAGTGTCCATGGGTTCAGTCGCTGCAGCCTTGCAATCTGGCACGTGGCGGTCAGCTTGTTGCTCCTGCCTCTCACAGTGTTCTTCGATGACTACACTTCAGTCACAGTCTCTGAGGACAGCCAAAGCGTAGAAACCTGCTTTCTCCTTTTGCTAAAGCTCCTGGGCTGGAGGGCAGCTCTGGACGGCAGCAAGGCGCAGTCCTTTGCAGAGAGCTTCGTCAGCCTAGGCATCGCATACATTTTGCCAAGAACTCCAGCAGGCTTCGTCAGGGTGAGCAACACCGAAAGCCGGAAACAGGAAGTGACAGTCACATGCCAGCGTGCTCTAGCCTCGGGGACCTTCTCCCCTGCAGAATGTCTGGCTTTCGCAGGTAGACTCAGATGGCTGGATGCCCAGATATTTGGCAGGAAGGGCAGATGGGCCTTTCGCACCATCCTGGAGCACGGGAGCAGGCCAGGCAGGCACAGACAGTTGCAGCTCTCACCTCAGCTCCGAGACGCCCTCAGCTGGGTGCAGCAACATGTGCCAGCAGCCAAGCCCAGGGCCTTCAAAAGGCCACCGACGAAGGCCTACAACGTCTTTACCGACGGCAGCTTCGAAGCAGGACTGGGACGCATAGGAGGCGTTCTTTGCAGCCCGACAGGACGGATCACAGAATGGTTTCAGGCTACTGTGCCGCAAGACTTGGTCCAGACGTGGCTGCATGAAGGCACCAGCCATCCCATCCTGCAGTGTGAGATGCTAGCAGTCTGTGTAGCAGCCGCTCTGTGGGGAGCATCAATGGCGGAATGGCCGGTGACGTGGTGGATAGACAACGACGCAGCCAGGCACTGTCTCATCAGTGCACGGGGTTTCCCCGAGTCGAACTACAGGCTTCTTCAGACCGTTCTTTGTTGCGAAGAGGAGTTCCTCCTCCAGTCTTGGTTTGCCAGAGTGCCCAGTGCCAGCAACCCCGCAGACGCGCCCAGCAGGGGTGAAGCAGCTGAGTTTCTCGGACAAGCCACGGAGAGAGAAGTGAAGGTGGGGTGGTTGCGGTGCTTAGCCAGAGGAGCCGTCCCGCAGCAGTTCCTGCAGCCGTCACCCTAAGGCGATGCAGTAGACCGGCTCATTGAAAGAAGTTGGGGCGTGACAGCCGGTCCATCGGATCGCTCCCTTTCTTCTTGAACAGTCGGTCACAGGTTCCGATCGCATCGCTTCAGTCTCCTGCAGTCAGTTACAGACTCCGCAGGGTGAAGGGTGCGACTCAGACTTTTGCAGGAAACGGCTCAGCCGCAGGAACCCCACCTTCAGGAAAAGAGAATGCGAGAGCTTGCCTGCTTGTTCAGTAGAGTGCGTTGCAGTTAAGGCATGTATACATGTATCAGACTTTAACTGTGATCGCCACGTCCATTTTGGCTCAGGTGCCAAAATTTTTGCAGCCCACCCTCCGCTTCCCTATGAGACGAACAGTAGACCCCAGTTGGGAATGTGGTTTTGGTTTCGGTTCAGTCAAACGGGCCAGGACAGACCTACAGCTGCCTTGGGAGACAGGAGCCTTCAACTTCGTCTGCGAGGACAGGACGTTCCTAGACGACCTGCAAGACCAGTTGCTGGCACAGCCAGCAGCAGTGCCCTTGCCTCGGCCGACACAGTCGACTCAGGCCGCTGAAGTCTCAGCCCCAGTGGCGCCCAAGCCCAGACTCAAGGCCCTCGGGCAGTGGCAGCCTCAAGACAGTCAGGCCGAACGGCAAGCAGCCTTGTCGAAGTGGAGCCAGTTGCTCAGGGCGGTGCCGCACTTTTTCCAGCCCGAAACAGTCAGTGAGGTGGCCAACGAAAGCAGCCGCGTGGAACTGGGCAACCTGGACCTTAGGTTTGCCAAGAAGAGCACCAACACCCTGCTGAACAGGATCAGCAGCCTCCAACGGTTCGCGGCTTGGTGCTTGAAAGCCTTCCCGCACGAGCCCTTGAGCGAACCGCTGGTTTTTCTCTACTGTCAGCACGTTACCAGCCAACAGCCCAGCAGTAGTGCCCCAGACCAGCTTTGTCAGGCTCTGAACTTCAGTCAGGGGTGCCTCGGTCTGCAGACACCAGCCTCCAGTCTGGTTAGCCCGCGCGTGCAAAGCATCGCGCACCAGAGCCTTCGACAGCAGAAGCCTAGCAAGCAGGCTCCAGCCTTGACGACAGACCAGGTACGTTGGTTACAGTCCTTCTCAGTCGCAGACGAGTCACAGTACGAGTGTTACCTGGCGTCCACTTTTCTTTTCATGGTTTATGCCAGGGCACGTCATAGCGACTTGAAGCGCAGCAAGAAGCTAACAGTAGATAGAGACGACGAAGGCAACGTTGTTTTCTTGGAGTGCTCAGTCCTGAACCCCAAGCAGTCGAAATCCAGTCGAAGGCGGAATATGTTTCTGCCGATTGTGGCACCAGCCGAGGGCATCTGCTCAGAGCCGTGGGCGGTTCGGTGGCTGGAGCTGCGCCAAGATCTGGGGCTGGTGTGCGAAGGCAGCCTTACAGACAGCCCTCTTCTCCCAGAGCTCGCAGCCGACGGTAGTCTTTTGCCAGTCAACATGGACTCCGCCACAGCGTCCAAGTGGCTTCGCTGTTTGTTGTCCAAGCAGCCCGGCAGCAGTCTGGACGACATCCTGCAGATGTCCAGCCAAGGACTCAAGGCCACTTGTCTAAGCTGGACCATGAAGGCGGGGATCCCAGACCCTGACCAGACTTTGTTAGGCTACCACAGCAGGGGGAAGAGCTCTAGTGCCATGAGCTATGGCAGGGACAGCTTAGCAGGACCGCTCAGACACCTGGTGAAGGTCCTGCAAGACGTGAAAGAGGGCAAGTTCAAGCCAGACTCCACCAGGTCAGGACGTTGGCAGGCTGAACAGTCGGCCTCAGCGGCAGCAGCCTCTTCAGCCGCGCCCAAGCCTCTGCCCAGCAAGCCACTTCTGGAAGCAGCAGCGCCGCAACAGTCCTCTGACAGCAGCAGTGACGAAGAGCTGGAGTCTGATGGCTCTTCTGCCGAAGATGTGCAGTTGTTGCAGAGCGTCAGCCACAGCCTAGCCTTGGTAGCCAGTAGCAGTGACTTTCAGTTTTTGACGAACGTGCGCAGTGGAGTCGTACATGTCAGCCGTGTGGGCCAGGATAGGCTCCTCTGCGGTCGCACAGTCTTTGCTGGACTACAGATCACAGCCATGGTAGACTTTTCGAAGGTGCAGGCATGCCTTACATGCCAGTCTGTCGCAGACGGACTTATAGACGGCCAATGGGCCAGCACCGACAGAGGGGCGTGACAGCCGGTCCATCGGATCGCTCCCTTTCTTCTTGAACAGTCGGTCACAGGTTCCGATCGCATCGCTTCAGTCTCCTGCAGTCAGTTACAGACTCCGCAGGGTGAAGGGTGCGACTCAGACTTTTGCAGGAAACGGCTCAGCCGCAGGAACCCCACCTTCAGGAAAAGAGAATGCGAGAGCTTGCCTGCTTGTTCAGTAGAGTGCGTTGCAGTTAAGGAAGTGCGGACAAGAAAACGGCAGAAGGATTTCCGACCAGAAGGTCAAGCGCTGGAGCTTGGTGGAATATGTCTCGATTTGTGTTTGCCCCTTGACTCAGAAGCTTGATAATTTCATTGACCTGGGCAAGTCTCACATCCAGCACTATGCCTGATGGGGCAGGCAAGCCCCCGTGGAATGCACCAAGGATTCTCTTACCCCCCCGAACATGTACTCATTATATCCTCGCAAGCAATGAATGTCAACTGCGAAGGGAAGCCTTGAGAATTACCTTCCCACTTCCTTGCGTTGAAACTGTGTGTACCTCCTCGAGCAGCATGCCCGTCCTGCACCTTGGAAGGACAAGCCGGAGTCCAGCCAGCCGGAGCCCTGGCACGGAGAAAGCAACAGATGGAGAGACACAAGCGGATGGTGACCGGCAGACAGGTCGTCGTTGCTGTGCATTCAGGGCTGAGGCGACGGCTTCAGAGGTTAACTTAAATTTTGGGTAACTGACAGCCAGAATGAGAGAGAGGGGGTGGACTTTGCGCGTGTGTATGTGTGTGAGTGTGTGCGTGTGTGAGTGTGTGAATGCATACATGTGTGTGCAGAGTTTGATGTTGATGCTGTGGCTGTGTGTCTAAATTTATGCTCGAACGTATTTGTGTTTGTGCGTAGATTGTAATTGGTTGGTTGGTTGGCTGTTTTCGTTGTTCCTTCGTTTCCTTCTTGAACCACATATTTGGTTCTTTGTGTTTCGTTTTAACGAGCGCTTTTTGTTTGTGTCACTCCTCTCGGAGAGCAGCCGGGGGGAGATCCAACCACAACGCGACGGACGCGGCGATGCTGTTGCCCAACCATCAGAAGTCAAGCACAGTCCAGCAAAGGATTAATCAGTTTAATCTTTACCTTAGTGCCCTGCCTGCAGCAGGGTAGCCTGTGCAATGTCCTTTTGGCTTTTTGAGATGACGAAATGGGCCAGCCATCTGGTTGTCGTGTACTGCATGTGTGCACGGAAGGGCAAACAGAGCAACGTGGCGAGTTTGTGTCCTTTTGGAGCCACGTCTGATGTTCGTGTGTTGTATGAGCTCCAACCGCAGCGAACAAGGCCGCCGAGGTGCTGGGAGTTTTTGTAAGCCCACCTCTCCCGCCCGTGAGCGGTGCTGGTGGGACTGAACTTTACTTTGCACCGTGCGACATTCAAAGCACACCCGGGCTCCCGGAAAGTGGACCGTGAAAACGTCCGAAGTGCCAGCGAACTTGCTCGGTTACAAGCTTGTTGACTTTCGATGGTCATTGTTCAACAGGGAGGCTTCGCCTACACGAACAACAGGTTGCCGGTCACGACAGTACATTCCCAAGGGGCTCTTGTGTCCTCCTGGCGGGATGCCGGTGGGCGTGCCCGCATATTTTTGGAAGTGCGATGCAGGTGATCAACAAGTGACTGGCAAGAAGTACGGTTGCCTTGAGGCATCAGACATGATCCTCAGTTGGCACAGTCTAACTCCCGTCCGCAATACAGAGATGGGCGGAGTTTGAGGCTGTGTTTATGCGGGATTCAGCTGAGCATGCCATCTGTTTCCGAATGCTCCTCCGCTTTCTTCTGCTCTCCGCTCTTCTCCTGTCTACCAGGCTGCGAAGAAGGCAGCACCGTCGCCGGCGCTGCAGAAGGCCAGAAGAGACTCTCCAGGGACCCGTACATGCAGCGAGTTGAAGCTTCATCTTACTCTGATGAAGCCATCAGTTTCAGATCTCATGCGTTGGTTTTTGAAAGACATGTCGGATGGAGTGCTTGACGAGCTCATCCGCTGTGCATCTGCAATCTGACGAACCACCGGTTCTGCTGCATGACACGAACAGACAGCCCAGGCATTAGGCAAAAATGTGCATGCTTGAATCCGTTTGAGAGGCGGCATCTTGCAGATTACAGCCCCGGGAGCCGGTTGCGAGTTCGCACATCACTGTGAAAGTCTCTGCTTGAAGACGTGGAAAACCAAAACAGCTGCATCATCTCACATCACCGAAGAATGCAAGTTCGCAGACTTACGATCATCTGGAGAAGTCAATGTTTGCAGGGCTTCTTCAATCGAACAAGCCGGAAGACAGAGGTGCGCAAGCTGGTTCATCTGTACAAGAGATACAAGAGGGTATGAATCCAGTGTTCGCATGCAAGCCAACATGCAGGGGACGGACCAAGGAAAGGACAGCGACGAGGCTAAGACAGCCCAAGGCGGTCTCAAGGCAAGATCCGGATGCGTTGTGATAGTGGATCGGCTGATCGTTTCAAGTTTGCCCGTCAGTGGGTGCAGGAAAAGCACTCAGCCAAGCCAAATGAGAGGGAGGCGAGGATCTGAGGGATAAAGCATGAGGCATGCAGCATCGCATGGAATACGCCGCAGGTTGAGTTGGAGCAAGAGCTCACCAGCCTGCGCAAGAGCCTCCGGGATCAAGAGGCCACCAACCATCAATTTGCCAATCAGAGGGAGAGAGCGAGGGGAGGGAATCAGAGGGAGCGTGAAGAAGAAGACTCTCCGAATTCCAGGCCGAACTGCAGAAGAAAGTTATGTCCGGTGCCGAGCATGTGACTGCCTATTTGTACAGTTCTGAATCCTGAATCTTTGCCGTAGCAGTTCGTGCATATGCGTATGGTACATGTATAGTTACCATACGCATATATGTATGTGACAGTATGTAAGCATAGATAGATGTATGCATGCATGTATCTACGCATGCTTGGGCATGCACAGACATATACGTAGACATCTACATGTACATATGTACAGTGGCTCACTGTGTGTGTCTGTGTGTCTCTCTACAATTTCGGGTCGGCGTAGAGTCTCGTTTTTTGTACGAAAAGGCCCCACATGCATAGGACCCTGGATTTTGGTGGGGGTTAGTTAGTTGTATGTCTGCAGTCGCATGCCTAGGTCAGCAGAGGCCAGGAATGCTGAGGCCTGTCGGGCCGGAGATGAAGAGCTCCCAAGACTTTCGCTGGCTAGGATTGAGCAACACCCTAGCCGAGCGGCGTAGAGTGTCGGTCGTGTGATCGTCCTATGTGTTTGCAGTGGCTCACAGTTTGGCAGTCGGGCCAACAAGTCAGGAGCAGCATTTTCGAGAAGGCAGCGAGGCCTGCACTCCGCGGAGCGGCACAGCAGAATGCACAGCACTGCTCTGCCCAGGCACTTCTCCAGGAGTCTTGGGCTCGATGGATAGCCCGTCATAACAAACACCTGATCACCACACTTTCTCAGGTTGGAAGACTGTATTCGTGCGGTGCGGCTCCCAGGTCCATCGTGCCTGCAGAGGGGCAGTCGGGGAGACTTTCCTCGATAGAGTCATCAATCCGTTCGCAGACGTTGAGGTTGCTCCGAGTACGTCAAGCTCGAGCTCCCCAGCTGCACAGGCCGTCGACCTCGACGTAGAATCGGCACTTCCAAGGTTTCAGCATGTAGAAGCGTGTCCAGAATGTGCAGCGCATGTTGTCGCAGGTCGCCATCCAACAGGCAACAGAGCGCTCACAGGCTGGATTGCTTGCAAAGTGAGATGTGGATCTATAAGCGGGTCGCAGCATCGCCGACAGTACAGCATGTACAGCGTTGGAGTTTGATTGCCACAACGACTGCAGCTCAAAGTAAGAAAATCAGGAAGCAACAGGCGACCTCGCACATCCATCACCAGCATCTGAGATTCGAGTGCGCCTAAACCCTCAGCCATTGACGATGATGTGTTGGGCGTCGATCACCCAAAGTTATGATTCCAGGTGCGACCAGGACCACTGCGCAGCTTGCACAACTAACATGCTAATGTTTGGAATCGCGTCTCAATTTGTAGAGCAGTGCGCGACTCGCACTAGTCTTCAGCGCAGCCGGCTTTCTAACCTGTCGTCAGATAGTACAAGAAACAGATGTACCAGAGCTAGTAGTGGTAATTGTTCTACTGCTACTACTACGACGACGCTCCTATGATCTCCTATGGATACAAGCTCGCTGACCTGCCGGGCCAACATCCACCGGATAAAAAAAAAAAACATGCCTCCGGCCGTCAAGTTCCGGGCATCTAAGTTGTCCTGTGGCACAAGGAATACTGAGCACACCCTCGTGCCAGGCCGGCAAAGCCTGGGCAGAGAATGAGCAGCAGCGGTACGTAGAATTTTCCACGGAGGCCCGTGCTGCCTTCCCGCACACCCGAGAATTCCGCATACACAATTGCGGCAGGTGCTGACACTTCAAGAGATGTCGGTGAGGGAGTTTCGTGAACAAGAGGCCTTCGATGCTCCCGCAATCGTGGCCCTCGTTGTGGCTGTTTGAGAGTATGCAGGATGCCGCCTCGAAGCAAAGCAAAGAACTTCGCGAGCTACCTGGCCTGCAATCAGAGACCTCAGATGAAGTATACCACTGGTGCATTGGTGCTGAAATCTAGCAATCGACGGTTTTGTGTGCCTCGAGGATCGTTCGTCCATTCGGCATTGCCCCAGCACCCCTTAGTTGCCAAACAAGACAATCCCAGAGTCAAAAGGGCCACTTGAAGATCTGGAGATATTTTGTTTGCGAGGAGCGTCCGTGTTCAGGAGTACTTTAGCCCCGAAATGTCGAAGACTTGCATCCTGCCTAGGCTTGCCAAGCGCTTTGGCGACCTTCTGAGGCCATGTGTTGAGCCTCTGGTCCTCCGGGATTTTGGAGAACCGCAGTCCAAAAGACCGGTGAATGTGCGAAATGCTTTGCAGCAGACGATTTGCCGCTGCATTCATTGGCTGATTAGCTCAGGGACAGAGATCCCTCACCATTTCAGCGGTTGGTTAGGGTTAGGGTGGTTCTGGTGTGTTGTGTTTCTTGAGTGCCAATGTGCAGCTTTTGTCGCGGTGCCCCCCTGCCAGCTCGTCCGTGTTTTGTTGTGTGGACCCACATGCTCCCTGCCTTCAGAACCGACAATGCCGGTTTTGTGGCTTGTGCACTCTGTTCGTTTGCTCCGGGCCGGCCAGTTTTCGTCCATGTGCGCAGGTCGGCGAAGCGGCTGGACGGGTTTGTCAGGCAGGGGCATGTGGAGCGTTTCGACGGCCGACACGACTCGTGCGTGTGTGGGCGTGCTATTGAGCGCAAACTCCAGGGAGCATTCTTCGGGACGAGAGATAGCAGACCCAGATGTTCAGCACATTGCACAACAAGGCGAGACTACACATGTGGTCCAACTGGGTCTAGCTTTCATGCTTGCTTTATTCAGATGTCTCACAAGCACTGCCCAGTTGCGGACTTCCACAGCCTCCCGTGGACGAGTAAGCTTTCTGCCATGCTTGACGACGGAGAGTCTTGGATTGCAGGGACTACAGGATAGCGCAAGGGGACTGCACGATTGATAGAATGCCCCGCCATGCCACGGCTGGTCACATGATCTCTGGCGTTCGAGCTTTGAGGCAGTCCTGCGAATCATTACCATGTTTTCTGCAGGCTGCCCAGTCCGAAATCAGGTGCAGACAGAAACAGGTGTTCTACAAAAGCACAGTTGAGGTGCTTGGCATGATGTTTGGCTTGGCTTTGGTGGTGGAGGACGATCGCATGACCTTGTGTTTCTTGCGACTGATCAACCACACGTGTCTCTTCAGAGCACACGCCCCTGCAAGACTGGATTCGCGAAAGCGTGTTCGCTGACCTGTGGGCGAACTCAAGACTGATGGCTGCTGCTCATGCAGTGCGCAAAGAAATTCTAGTGTCGCTGCAGGCTTGCATGCCTCAAGAAAAACGGGTAGAACTGGAAATTGAAACATTAAATCAGGTTCTCTGACATTAAAATACAAAAGAATATGAGAGTGCCAAAGCTACAACCCAAATTGAATTCAGAAAAATGTTTCACTAATAAAATACTTTCTATTGTTAACTCAACGTTTTCGCTAGAATATTCACCTGTCAATAAGATCATGTTCTTTATATTTGTTAATATTTTGAAGAATAACTTATGAGAAGCTCCTAAAACTGTGTA